GTTAAGTGACTCTGGGTAAAGGGGATTGGAGTGTCCTTTGTATTATTCTCTTGACAACTTTTCTGTAGATTTGAAATTATTTCTGAATAAAAAGTTTTCAAAAAAACAAGAAGGTTTGTGAAGGTTTTCCAGAAGAAGAGTTCAAGAAGGTGGCTGTCCTGGTCTTAGCTATTTCTTACACTTTTTCAGCATCCATGGCTAGTTGGTACATGGCATACAGAAGAGGCTGGTCCTGGGGCCCATCAACTAGCCGGTCAGATCACTTAGGATTTTGCCCTTTGAAAGAGTTAAGCATAATTCTGACTGGGCTTTAATTACAGGACAATAATGAGAACAGATAGTCCTCACCAACAGAGCACGCTTTTGATATGGTTGACTCAAGAATGAACTTCTTACCTTCAATTCAAAACTCAAAAGCACAGATGGAATTTATCAGGTCCCAAATTCACCTTTTTTTCATTTATTGTCTCTACTGTTCATTTGCCTTTCCAGAAAATGCTTATTTAATGGCAAATCTGAATTCATGGAAGGAAATGTTAAATGCTCTCACAAAATTATAGGAAAGAAAAAAGCAAAAAATATGAATAAGGAATTAATATAAAAAAGCTAAATTCAAAAAACAGACTCTCTTCCTCTCCCTAAAGAACAATCTAATATACATTCACACAGAGGTAGACCTGAAAAGACAGCTTTCCTCCCAAGGATTAGAAGAAACTGAAATTTGGCAACATGGCATTAGCCCGGAAACCCTCTAGATACAGAGGTTGACAATTCAAGACCAGAGGCATATGGCAGCAAGAGAAGAAGCTCAAAAAAGCCCTTAAAACGAATGTCTGTGTATCGCAAAGCATGGCCATGTACAACCAGAGTCTCCCGTGATACCAAGCAAAAGGCAGGTCCCTAGTATGCCCCCAATTACATGTGCCATTAGCAACACAGAGGCAAACAAACAAACAAAAATCCAGATCTCAAGAATACATTGAAGCGGGAGGGCGGGGGGGGGGGGGCGGGGGGGAGAGCAGGAGGGGGCCAGAGCTTATCAGGCTGAAGTATATAATAAAAAATAGGAGGGCAGAAGGAAAGGCACGTCGCATGTTGACATTCGCTTTCCCAGGGCTGGTGAAGTGTGGCCTGAGCCCTGAACGACGGATACGGGTCACAGGCTCTGGGAGATGGGGAGATGGGGCGTGAAGAGGGAAAGGCGTGCCTGCAGAGAAGGCAGTCCTGGACCCTGCTGAGGGCAGAGCAGGTACCGGGCAGCACAACGTCCACTCTGGCGATGGCCCCGTGGAGCCTGGGTTCAATCCTGAACCTTGCGGGCAGCCACGGGAGGACTATGAAGGAAGCAACATCGCCTGCCTAGGACTTTAGCAAGATCACCCAGCAAACAGTACGTGGGATGGAGTGGAAGAGGAAATCGTTGATAAATACTCCTGGGCCAAAAAAATGTGCAGACATAAAACACCACCCATGAAAAACCAACAATTTTTAACTCAGCTTCATTTAGACCAGATGTCTTTGTCCCTTTGGTCAGAAAGAGTACAAGATTCTGTTCTATCTACTTCAGCATTCTGATGTGCTCACACAGAAATGACAATCTACTTTTTCTCACAAACATGTGAGTTTTTATTTTTTCACCAGATTCACACTGCATTTAAACCTTGATTGAATCTATTTGAAGGAAGACAATGATCAATGAAATTACATAATTGATATTCATTCCTGGGGAAAAACAAGTTTATCAAAGTTAAATATTTCAAAAAACAAATGCTAATGTGTTTTTCCAGTAGCTTCTAGACACAGCAGATTAATAGGCAGAGAATATGGAGAAAAGATCTTTGAGGCAAGCAAGCTGTGGGAATGAGAGAGGAGGCAGTCTTGTCTGTTCAGAGAATTTTAGAAACCGCTCATCTGTGCTCACAGAGTGGAATATTCCCTTTTGTCATTCAAACACTTCCAGCTTCCGGCCTTGCTGCCTGATGGTCACCCGCCAATGGATCTGTAAGATTTCTGCTTAGTCTCAGTAGGTGTTTAAAAATTACTAAATTAATAACTTGATGACAACCGATTCCTCAGAATGAGAACATGGCACAACACTGTGTGGCATGTGGCACCTTACCTCCCACGGATGCTCTACTGGTTTCCTTGTTACCAAAATATACCACATTCTACACAGCAGACTTCAGCTATGAGCACTGACATGACAGGGTCAAGGGGGGAAGAGGGAGTATGGCAGTTGGGTATAAAATTCAGGATTCTCGAAAACCCTGTCTTCCTCCTCAGTGTACCCTACATTTATGGGAAGCTGCAAATCAAAATAACACCACAGGGCTAGGACATCTAAGGACTACTTGGGCGAGACCCCAGGTCAGGGTATAGAAGTAGCAGACTGTAAGATGGTCCCGGAAGATGAGGAAACATTCATCTAACCTTCCCTTAACTACCACTCCCTCTCACTGTGGGTGACTGAGCTACTATATCCACTCATAGAAGAAAAGGGTTTAGAAGCTAGATTCAGACAACACTTTAGGGATCTTTTTTTTTTTTTCTTTAATATGAAATTCCTTGTCAAATTGGTTTCCATACAACACCCAGTGCTCATCCCAACAGGTGCCCTCCTCAATGCCTATCACCCACCCTCCCCGCCCTCCCCCCCATCACTTAGGGATCCTGACTGTCTAAAGATCCAAGGGAGCAAATGGAACTAGGCAGCCAATCACATTCTGATTCCATAACTCCCTGAGCATAGAAGGATCCAATGTGTTCAATGCTGTCCTAAAGGCTTCGAGTAAGGAGGCCAGTGATGAAGAACAAAGGCTTTGGTGCCAAACAGACTTGGATTTGAGTCCTGGTTCAACATGGATGAGTGGCTCAACCTCTCTAACTCCAATTTCCATAAATTTAAAGAAGATGATAATCACACCACCTAATGAAGTCGTTATGAGATGAAATGAAATAAATGGATGCATATAAAGGGCTTAGCCCTGTGCCTGAAAGTAACACCTCAACTACTAGCTATTAGATGTTTGATCATCTGGGGCTTTGGAATGCAAAAATCTAAATACTAGGCTTGCAGTAAGGAAGCCATGAAGAACAATGGGGTGTGTGAACCAGTAGGGGCAGGTCGTGGGCAGGAGCAGGAAAGGGGGAAGAATTGCAAGCCTCTCCCAGGACATTGTTGAAAACGTGCCTAAGCATGGAAATACTGTGAGCCATTATTTCTTTGTGTTGAACAATAGCTGATTGGAGACAGATACTCATGAAAACTCCTGCATTTGCTTCCTCTCATATTTTGTATTGTATCTTCACAGCTCTGTATCTGTTAGCTATATGATCAAATCAAAGGTCTCTACAAAAATTAAGTCAAATTGGATCAAAGGCCTAAATGCAAAAGCCAAAACTATAAAACTCTGAAAACAAAACACAGGGGGAAGCTTCATGACATGGGATTTGGCAATGATTTCTTGGATAGGACACCAAAAGCACAAGCAATGAAGGAAAAAATAGATAAACTGACTACATCACAATTAAAAACTTTTGTGCATCAAAGGTCACTATCCATAGAGTGAAAAGGCAACCCACAGAGTGGAAGAAAATATCTACAATCCATATATCTAATAAAGGATTAATATCCAGAATATATAAAGTACTCCTACAATTCAAAAATCAAAAGCAAGCAACCCAATTAAAAAAGGGTGAAAGACTTGAATAGCAGTTTCTCCAAAGAATATATAAAATGGCCAATAAGCGGCTGAAAAGGTGCTCAATGTCACTAGTCATTGGGGAAATGCAAATCAAAACCACAGTGAAAGACCACTTCCTACCCATTAGGACCTCTATTATTTAAAAACAAAAACAAAACAGAAAATAAGTATTGGCAAGGATATGAAAAAATTGGGAGCCCTGGGGCATTGCTGTGGGAGTATAAAATATGTAAGCTACTATGGAAAAAAGGCAGTTCAGAGAATAGAAATATAGATATAAATAAAATTACCACCTGATCCAGTGACTCCACTTCTGGGGACATATGTACAAGAACTGAAAGCAGGGTCTCAAAAAGATAGGCGTACCCCGCACGTTCACAGCCACATTATTCACAGCAGCCAAAAGGTGAGCGCAAGCTGAATGTCCAACAACATATGAATGAACAAACACAATGTGGTGTACACATACCGTGTAATTTTATTCAGCCTTAAAAAGGAAGGAAAGTCTGACACATGCTCTACAACATGGATGAACCCTGAAGATGTTATACGAAGTGCGATAAGCCAGACATAGAAAGACAAAATACTGTATGATTCCACCCATAAGAGGTACCTACGCTAGTCTGATTCAGAGAGACAGAGAGTAGGACGGAGGTTGTCCAGGGCTGGGAGAGGGGGAAGTGAGGCGTTACTGTTTAATAAACACGTTATTTCAGTTTTGGAAGATGAAAAGTTCTGGAGAGGATGGTGCTAACGGCCGCACAACAATGTGAATGTACTTAATGCCACTGAAACAAATACTTGAACGTGATTGAAATGGTATTTTCTGTTATGGACTTTTACCACAATTTAAAAAAAAAAGTTAAAACTCACTACCACACCTAAGGCATCCTGGTACCCGCGGTCGTCCTTGCTTTGCACAGAGTGAGTTTTACTCAGCCCTCCACCTTCCCCCGTGGTTATTACCCAGTGGCTCTGGGAACACAGTCACCACACGCCTTGAACACCTGGCAGCTAAGAGATATGGATGGTCTAATTTTCTCAAAATAAAACTGTAAAAAAATAAAACCGTGCGTTTAGTTCTACTTTAAGTACCCCTACTTAAGAATTCTAGGGGATAACTTTTTTAAAATCTAGACTTAAAGTGCATAAAAGAAAAAGAAATCATGTCTTTAATGGTGTGCTAACGTCACACTTTCCTTAGGAATGTGATTTTCTTTCGTTGCCAAGACAGCAACAGTTGCTGTGGAAACCACACAAAAACAGGGATATGCAACTGAAACATACCCCACTCACCTGCACAAAGATGCCCTTGCTCCTGTACTCCTCATGGAGGCACTGAGAGAAGAAATCCACAAAAGCCTGGGATGGGGTGGGAGTGGGAAGGAAACACACATATTACATCAATCGGCCTGATTTGTAGCCATGGCAACAAAAATAACAAACTAACCATTTAACACTCGAGTTCCTAATCATTCTTTTTATTTCACATACAGAAGAGACCTTAAAAAAAACACCTCAAAACCTCAAGTCGTTTTTATCTGCCACTAAATTAAGTATTCTCTTACCAACTAGAATCTCCAGATCAAATTGTGACTTAACCAGAAAAGGGTCTTCTCTTCCCTTTTTTCAGAAAATGACTTTTCAAGAAGAAATATTTTATTATATAACAAAGGACACATTCCTCCTCCCCACTTGCCATTCAAACAGAAACACAATATGAATTCCGTTCAACTCTCCTCTATAGGGATTTTGTTGTCAGTAAAGAAAAGAGCAAGCTTCCTCTTGGTCCTTGGGGATGGCAAGATCCAAGAAGCGTACGGATGAATGTGACAGCCCATCTTCTTCTGCTAGTACAACTTTAAATCTATTTGTAAAATATAATGTACCATTTTTCAAGTATGGACTCAACCTCAGGCTTAAAATGCCAAGTATCAATGATGACTCTTCGAGGCTCCCAACTAATAACAGTCTTGTGGCCACATGGAGCAGAACAGGTGAGAAGCTAGAGTTCAACAATCACTTCACAAAACAGGGTGTTCATTTGAAACCTCCCTCCTGTATGTTTCAGATACAGGAAGCAAGTAGATTGCAGGAGTGGGGCGTGGAGCCAAGCTTTTTCAAAACAGTAGTCACTGTTCATGATTTTCCCGTGGACAAAGGGCCAAATGAAAAAGAAAGCAGGAGTTTTGCTCTGTTCCTTCTCTGACATATCGCAAGTTCTTAGAGTATTAGATCTCAATGGTCATTTTCATTTCAGGGATGTATCCTGTGCCTCAACAATGTATATAAAGATGCTATGGACCTGGAGGCAGCAGGAAATGTATTCTAAATGATTTTTCCTACTAGTAATGTGAACAGGTGAATGGTGATAGTGTATAAAATTATGACATCTTACAGAGAGTTCTAGAAAATTCTTGTCTCACTCCAGAAGTGACAATTCATATCCATGAATTCTGAATAACGTGGCAAAATGCTCACACTCTCATCCAGGCTTATCTTGCGCCTACTGTGTGTATTTCTACCCTGACCGGCTGCAAATTCTTCCACTAAGCTCTGCAGATTGGCAACTTTTGCTGGATGGAGTGCACTCTCATTCATGGACCAAATCCCCAATCATTAACATCGTGTTCTGATCAACTGATCTAACTGGCCCAGACCAGCTCTCTCTCTCTCTGGGACGTACAAACACAGGCATACCGCACTTCCTTGCATTTCACTTTACTGTACTTCACAAGTGCCGTATTCTTTACAAAATCGAAGGTTTATGGCAACCCTGCCTCAAGCAAATCATCGGCACCACCTTTCCAACAGCATCTGCTCACTTCCTGTCTTTGTGTCATATTTTGGTAGTTCTCCTAATATTTCAGTCTTTTCTTTATTATTGTATGTGTTATGGTGATCTGTGTTCAGTGATTACCACATGTTGAAAGCTCAGATGACGTCATTTTCTAGCAATAAAGTATTTTTAAAATATGTGCACTGCTTCTCTAGACATAACGCTATCGCACACTTAATAGACTACAGTATAAACGTAGCTTTTTTTTTTTTTTTACCTTGATCCTAGTGTAAACATAATTTTTATATACACTGGAAAACTAAAACACTCATTTGACTTGCTTTATTGTGATGATTCACTCTATTATGGGGGTCGGGAATCAAGCTGGTAATAACTCTGAGGTATGCCTGTACCAGTTTCAAAACCAGTCAACTACTAGGAGAAAAAAGCATCTGTGGATCTGAGATCACGGTGCCCCATTCCTTTTCTTCCCAGTCCATTTGAAAACAGCCAAGAACAGAACTTCAAGAAGCTTCCATGCTTATTTCTCAGACCGAAAAGTATTCCTCATTCTCATTCTGACATGATTCACTAAAAAATTGTTCACCTTGGTCGCAGAGTACATGGCCAAAAGTGGAACAGGGACTAGGCCGCTGGCAGAGGAGATGTTCAGAATGGCCCCTTTCGATCTAAAAAGGAAAATGCACCAAGTCAACAGAATGAAATCATACACGCAACCATTTGTAAATTACAGATTGAGATACAGAACTACCTGAAACAGAAGAACATAGCTGTTTTTCTAGCACACATCACTCCTTGCCTTTCATCAGCACATGATACACTCGGTCAGTGAAGGAGGCATAACTCAATCAACTAAAAATAGCTCCTGTTTGCAATTAGCTCATTTCTGTTTTAGCAATCCAGGGCATGACCAGATCAGAGCTACAGTCTCCTCGAGTTAATCTCTCCTGTCTGAGGTCTTCTCTGGCCACATCACCAAGAATCCTCCTTCTTGGAAATGCTCTCAATATTCTGATGCCTTTATTCTGGTTTATCATCCATCACATACTACCTTACTGTAGTATTTAATCACTGTATGTGTATACACGCTTTTCTCCCTCAACAAAACCATAAGCTTCTGGACATCATAGCTCTTGTCTTACACTTTTCCTCAAAACCTCCTGCACAGTCATGAGCATTTAACAGGTAATTAATTTCATTAAGTAAATTCATTACCTCCTGGCAATGAATGAACAGTTATGTGCTGCCCTCCTACTTCCTCTAGGTTGTAGATATTCAGGCACTAAACAAAGAGCTGACTGAAAAGTCATGTGACTCTACAGGAGATCAAACCATATTCTCTGCCAAAGGGCAAAGGGCAATTCTACGGTAACTCCTAGAGATGACTGAAAACTAAAAGTCAGAAAGTTACCAGGAATTACTAATTTCATTAATGAATGAATATTAATGGGAGAAAAGCAATGCTGTAAATACATTAGTTGTTAGCAAGTACATAAGGGTTGGGTAACATGTGGAATTAGGGTTTTAGGAATTTTAAACAGAATTAACAACCAACTCCTCCCCTCCAAACCCATTCTTCCCAGAGGAGGGAATGGGGGGGGGGGGGGAAGGGCGGCGCGCTGCCAGTCCCCTCCAGCCACTGCAAACAACCCTACCTACTTCCTATCCTCCCAGTGAGGTTCCTTTTCTTCCACGCAGATTCTCACTGTTCTCTGTCTGAATTTACCTCCCCCAAGATCTATTTTTTCAGTATTTTTTTTTAAAAAGGACTATACAGACCCTTTTTATGCAAAATAATAAAAGAAACATGATTAAATGGCATCTAAGTTATTTTAGACGCAAATCTGAAAAGAAATAATCCCCAAAGGTCACCCAGTCCATCTGCCAGCCTCTAGGCGAGATGCCACTTCAACCATCAAACAGAAGTCTGGACCCTCCGTTTACTGTGTCGCTGGAAACAAGGTGTCTTTGGTTTTAGATTTTGAACTGAAGTGCTTATTAGTAATATTCCTAAGCAACGAAATCTGCTCACATTTTGGTCACAGAAATCAAATCTCAAATCTAAAAACGTTATATTAGGGTTTTAAAGAAAGTTGGAAATATTTAGTCATTGTATTGGTTGTATCATTCTTGTGTGTTTTGCTTGTGTCTCAGAGACAGAAAAAGCCTTTTCGTTTTAAATATTGATAAGAGAGTAAGAGTGTCTATCAGGAGTTAGAACCCTATCACCCGAAGATAAAAAACCAGTAATTAGCAACGACTATCTAAGATTTTGATTTTATCTATATTTGTGAGAAACTCCTTTGATCAAATTTGACTAAAAGCCACTTTGGTTACTGGAGACTTTTAATGGAGTATTAATTTATGATGTTTAGAACATCTTTATCTTTTCAGGGTGTTAAAAATGTTCTCAAATTAGATTCTGGTGACGGTTGCACAGCTCTGTGAACATACTAGAAACCACCAAATTGTATACGTTAAGTGGGTGGGTTTTAGGGTATGTGAAACGTATCTCAATAAATCTGTAAAAGAAAAAGAGAGAGAGAAGTCTCTTTATGATATATTGTAATGTGTCACCTTTAAACTCAGAGAGTGTCCCAATCAAGTGCATTTTAAGAGAGCTATGGTATCTTAAACATCCCAGAATGCTTCCTGAGAAGTAACCCCAGATCCCAACAAGTTGCACCCCCTTCCTGAGCCCTATGCATCCTTCTAGCTTTTAGGTAGCATTTTCCTTTAACTTCTCATACAACCAGGAACTGCTACGGCCTCACTCATTCGGAGCAAACGAAGAAAGAAGCTAGTTGCAGATGATGTTGTTTTTCACCAAAGCTGTAGTATATCACTGTTGTTTTCACCTGGATTATGTGCTCCCTTATACTTAGATTGGCTGGAGCGATTACATGTGCCCTTGAACAAAAATCTTATATTTTTTTTATTTCGTTCCTCACAAATGAGGTACAACCTAAAAGTCTTCCAAAATTAAAGTTTAACGTTATCAAATATATTTTAAAAATTAAATCTGGATCTCATCAAAACACACTCTTAAGACTTCACTCAACAAAGCCATGATTTCAATCCAGGAAAATGTGTTTAAAGACAGTAAAAACTTCTTTCCCGTTTTCAAAAATAATAGACTAATAGTCAAATATGTCACAATTGTGCAGGGATGCTCCTTTAATTGTTTACTCCTTGAGGCAACTAACATCTTTGTTTTGCCAATAATATACACTGATTAAAATTTCTGGGAGGTAGAGTTAGTTTGAATTCATGAAAAGTCAGAATTTGAGGGAACGTTATTCAAAACAAAGTATTTGCACTCTAGCATATATTAAACAACCCCAAGACCAACAAAGTCTCGAGCAAGAATGCACTAGACCTCAGGAAATACAATGATGGCATTTATAATTGTATCATAATGACAGCAGTGAGACACCTCTCTACGAAAACTCTGTGCTAACGAGAAGCACACGTGTTTGTCTAGCAAAAACCTTCCTCCCACACCCACACCCACAACAGCACAGAATTCTCTCTTTCTCTCCAAGGGTAATAATATTCAACTGAGTTTTGTCTGAATCATAAACAACACACGGGTGGAGCCGTCTTAACCCTTGTACTGTATACAGTATCTATCCTTCATGTCGAGATGGGGATGAGCATTTGGGGCTGCGAGGCACAAAGGACTCGTCTTTAAAATCAACTACTTTGTCTGGCTCTAATCCTCCATCTAAGCAGAATTAGTGACGTCAAACCAGTTTCCATGGCAAAGGCCGACTCACGACAGCTCTGTTATATCAAGCAGAAGGACAAAATGGGCTGCGCTTAATTGCACACGAAAACAAACATAAAATTGAACCTTAGTTAATCTCTCATTTTCCGGGGACTTGGGGAACAATTCTAAGATTGGAAGGTACATTAACAATATTTGCTGAAGTTCCATAATGAAGACTCATGTTGCTCATACTTCATACTTTCCAGTTTGTTTTGACAAACATCCAAATAAACAAGTCAAGTAATATTTTCTGTGATATAACATTCTTCATTCATCACACTGCTTACTTGCTAACAGCCACACGATGGTGTCTCAGTGGTACAAATTACTGAGGGCCCACCAGAACTAAAATACTGCAAAAACAAAGCAGAAACACCACTGCTGATAAGGAAGCACCTTTTCATAGAAATATATTCTCTTCAATTACTAGCCCTTTCACAAGCCAAACATTAAACGCACCCAACCCTATAAAATTCAGCATCTTGTAATTACAGCTTCCTGCAGCTATGCTGTCTGGTAGAATTCCCTCAGACCTGTGAAAGCCCCATCCTAATACTCTCCTTCATTGTCACTTGGATAAAAAAAATTGCCAAGCAGTGGCACCTGGGTGGCTCAGTCAGTTAAAAGTCCAACTTTGGCTCAGGTCATGATCTCATGGTTCGTGGGTTCAACCCCTGCATCGGGCTCTGTGCTGACCTTGTGGAATCTGCTTGGGACTCTCCCGCTCCCTCTCTCTGCCCTCCCCTGCTCTCTCTCTCTCTCTCTCTCTCTCTCTCTCTCTCTCTCAAAATAAATAAACTTAAAAAAACAATTGCCAAGCCTTTATTTTCCTATAAATGCTCCACTACTCCATCAGACTGTTGCAGTATCCTTGTCTACAGCTCTATGAAACTACTACTGCCATAGAGGAAGTGATAGGTCTCCTTTGAATAAGTCACTGATTTCCACCTTCCTCAGGTACCTTCTGCTCCACAATGCAGGGGAGAGAGATAGGGAGGTGTTACGTGCTACCATGAAGAACTGGGACGCGGGGTTGACTCCAATGGAGGGAACTAACTGTACTCAGAGAGTTTGACGACAGGCAAGGGAGATTGTGCAAAAAAGACTCCATGACGCTTCTTCCTATTTCCATTTCTTATCAAGGAGTGCATAAATGTACTCCGGAGAGCCATAATTTTTTTTTTTTTTTAAAGCTTAAACACAACACTGAAATTGGTAAAGACAATTCACTAAGAGACTCTCAAGAAGACTAAGAAACATATCAAAACAGAGTCCTTGGTCAGAAAAGAATCCTGGAACAGAGGGGTCAGACATACAATTGGAACCAGCAATCCAAATACATTATACAAATCCTGCTTTGCTGGAGAAAGTTTGCAAACATTTACCACATGAAAGAGAACTGCCTGCCCTAAAACACCATAACATGTCATAATTCCACCTTAAGCAATACAGTATGAAAGGGGCTATTTTTAGCTTTTCCATGGTTGTTATGGCAACCACCTCCTGGCTCCAGCTATACACAATGTTTATAATTCCAGAGAAGTGGAAAGAGCAAGTTTCCTCTATAATGTAATTATGCACTTTCTACTTCTATGGTAATAATACCTTAGTTTAATTATAGATACTCGTTTAGTGATAGTCAGCTGGCCCTAGGCTATAGTTCTAGAGGGTTTGGAAAATCTCATACATCAGAGGTAGAATCAGTGAAAGGGGAAAACAACAACAACAACAAAAGATCTTTATAAAGGACTCTGCTGTTACTGAATGGAAATAAGAATCCCATGGAAACCAACCATAGGAAATACGCCATTTGAGGCTGGTGTAAAGGGCAGGGTATAATAAAATCATTTATATTGTGTAAGTAAGAAGGCTTTCAGATGATTGTTTACCTTGGAGTTATTCCTCTCCTCTCGGGCACACGGCTAACAACATTTCTGGCCTCCTCTGCAGTTAGCTGTAGCCAGTGACTGAGTTGTGGGCAACGGAATGTTGGCGGAAGGGATGGACACTACTTCCAGGCCTGGCCCATGAAACCTCCCGTAAAATCACCCTTATTCTCTCTTCCTTCGTCTGCTGGCTGGATGCAGAAAACGCAGCGGAGAACTGCAAGACCCAAGGGAAGAGCAGCCCTGCGTGGAAGGAGCCTGAGATAATGCCTGCGTAGAGCACAGCCCCAACCCCTGATACACACCGGCTGTGTATGAGAGCGATGGTCTCTTACAGCCTGCCCTAATTAATACAACTAGTAACTCCTTGAGGTCAAGGGGACAGAGCTATTCCCTCTCCTAACCAAAACTAGTGATTCATAAAGTCCACTTACGTTTCTTACTAGTTCTTAGCAAGTGCCACATTCACCCTATGGTGTCGGTTTCAGCCCATCGACTACGATGGCTTTCCACCAGATCATTTCTCAACCTTGGCGTAAAATCCACTTGATTTCCTAAAGGCAAAGATCCAGTTCATCTTCTGTACATGCCATGATACACTTTACTCAGGTCCTCTTCTTTGCATTGTTTTTATCTAATGCTTCAGCTCTAAATGTGGTCATGGCTGCCTAGGTCTATAAAGATAGGGGTGAAGTTCCTAGCACCCTATGTCTGTATCTGGTACTAATTATGAAGGTTCACAGCACTCAATCTCTTTGGGACTCACTTTCTATCTATCAAATAAGGGTGGCTGGTTTCAATTCATTTAGAGTACTAAAATTCCATCACTATATAAATCCATTGTGATCTGCAAAATTATTTCACAACCATTATCTTTTTTTTTAATGTTTATTTATTTTTGAGAGAGAGATGGGGGCATGGAGTGGCAAAGAGAGGGGGACAGAGGATCTGAAGCAAGCTCTATGTCGACAGCAGAGCCTGATGGAAGGCTTGAATTCACAGACTGTGAGATCATGACCTGAGCCGAAGTTGGACGCTTAACTGACTGAGCCACCAAGGTGCCTCCATTATCTCTTTTCATACAGATGTCACCAAAATCCTTAATTCCTTAAAAATTCCTTTTATAACACTACTGTGGTTTCTAAGTATTTCGTTCTTAAAGCATGGACTTATTATCCTAAACTAATGTCAACTCACTTGCAGATGTCAAAAGTGCATTAAGATGACGGCCGAAATTCATCCCTCCTCCGTCCTACTCTGCGACCCCAATTCTCTGCCATCTCCTAAGGTTTTGTGTGGTTTGACTACTGTCTGTCACTTCCATATCTGACCATTAGGGGCACACTCCCACTGTCAATCAACACAAAGCAGTCTGAAGGTTTTAAAGAGAATTTTTACTAAAGGAATTAAAACACACCAAACCTCAAGGGCGCCTGGGTGACTTGGGCGGTTAAGCTTCCAACTCTTGGTTTCAGTTCAGGTCATGATCTCACAGTTTGTGAGAGGGAGCCCCATGTCGGGCCATGAGCTGACAGTGCAGAGCCTGCTTGGGATCCTCTCTCCCCCTCTCTCCAAATAAATAAACATTAAAAAATATATGTACCAAATCTCATATAAAATGGAGTTACAAAAAAACCCTGCTAAGACACAGTTTCTCAACCAGTCTCTGTAGATGCCAAACAAAATGGATTCCTAACCTTGTTTCCTCCTTCATACAACAGGAGGTTATCAAAGTTAAATGAGTTAACACTTCCTCAGCACAACACTTGGCATACAATAGGTGCTCAATAAACAGTAGCTGTAAACCCTGCCGGCAGCTGGTCATAGAGCTTTCTTCACAGAAATAGGGTCTTTGGGCTCTGCCCTTTTCCAAGCCGTGATTCCTTTGGATCTCTTCCAAACTCAAAGCTCTTTTGCAGAGGAAGGATGACTGTGAAGTCCTAAATTTAGCAAATGATCAAACTTGCTAAAGATGCAAGCCCAGATCTTTTCAACGGGTTTTCTTTGAAAGCCTAGACACCATTCAGGCTTTTCCAAGGGAGAGACAGAGCTTAATTACAATTTTACACTTCCTGCTATTTCAAGAACTCTACAACACATTTCTCAATGAAAATGAAGACACCTAGCATATCCTAGTGGAACTCGACTCAAACTAGGACACAGATGGGGCTCCAAGGTGTGGGTTTCTGCTCCAAGGTGGGTCTGATATCTTATAACCATTTTATAACATGCCTAAGTTCCCTACATATCCTTTCACCCATTAAGAACTAAAAAACCAGGAGATGGGGTCTTGCTTTGTGAAACTCCTCTAATTTTAGTTCTGAGAGCATATAGCTTTAAGAAGGCATTCCCGGGAATACCCCAGGAATTCTATCCACCCCCTCAGAATAGCAGGCAATTGAGTTAGTGATGGTGACTCAAGCAGACTTTTTAATCCTGATCTAAAGGAACCACCACAACCCTGGAGAGGGAAATAAAAAGGGAATCGAGTGGAAAAGGCCTCCACCACCAGATGACTCATGCTCCACCGTGTGACTCGCCCAGCACGTTACTCTGTTGCTAAGACATGGGGGACAGGTTCATTAGTCACTTTAATGAATTTTGCAAAGAAAGGATTCTCCCTATAAATAATCATGAGCTCTGTCTCTCTGGTGCTTGTGTGTGAGCTTGTGACTCACCTTTCCACCATGCCAGGCAGCACCAATCGTGTCATCTGCAAAAGAGAAAACAAAACCTTCGTGATGGCTGAGGATGCAAGCAACAGATAAAGAGTGAAGGAAGCTTCGCCCTCAAAACAGAAGGGGATCACTAAACCACGCCCCACTCGACAGACAGCAATTTATTTTATACGCTCTCTATAATTTGGCTGTGGTAACAGTACATAAAAAGGAATCAGATGAAATTACTGGAGACAACACTGGGAATACTTTCAGTAAACTTGGCGAAAATGGGCCTTGCCTGAAAAGGAACACTGGCACACAGATCTTCAAATAATTAAGGGCCTGTGGTGAAATCAGGACCCCCAAAACGCACTCCTGGAAAAAAACATCCGTTATGGAAAGAAATATCTGCCAACCAAGATTACTGACGACTTCTAACTTAAAAGCTCAAATGACCTTTTCCTATCAAAAAAGCATTTAGAAGAATGCTGTCAACTGACGGCAAATGTTAAGTGTATCCTCACATTCATTCCCCTTGTTTGTCTAGCTAGTTGTGAGGAAAACTCATCCTTAACAACAACAAAAAAAAGACACCTGCATTTTTAAAGGGTGTCATAATTGTTGATTAAATACATATAATATGAGAGAGAAGCTATTTCTAAACTGTGTTTTAAGATATTATGAACTGGGGTGCCTGGGTGGCTCAGTCGGTTAAGCGTCCGACTTCAGCTCAGGTCATGATCTCATGGTTAACAGGTTCGAGCCCCACATCAGGCTCTGTGCTGACAGCTCAGAGCCTGGAGCCTGCTTCAGATTCTGTGTCTCCCTCTCTCTCTGCCTCTTGCCCACTCATGCTCTGTCTCTCATTCTCTCTCTCTCTCAAAAATAAATACATTAAAAAAAATTCTTTTTTAAGATATTATTAACTAGGGGCGCCTGGGTGGCTCAGTCGGTTAAGCGTCCGACTTCGGCTCAGGTCATGATCTCACGGTTTGTGAGTTTGAGCGATGCGTTGACAGCTCAGAGCCTGGAGCCTGTTTCGGATTCTGTGTCTCCCTCGCTCTCTGCCCCTCCCCCGCTCATGTTCTGTCTCTCTCTGTCAAAAATAAATAAACATTAAAAAAAAAATTTTTTTAAGATATTATTGACTAAGAAAAGTTAAGACATCCTCTGGCTTGGTCAAGGCCACGTCACAGTTTAAGACTGAGGTTAGAACGTGAATTCTGGATTCCCAGATATCATCAAATTTCTTTTTTTTTATTTTAAATCTTTATTTGAGAGAGAGAGAGAGAGAGAGAGAGTATGAATGGGAGATGGATGGAGACAGAGGGAGACACAGAATCTGAAGCAGGCTCCATAGCTGCTGTCAGCACAGAGCCTGACGCGGGGCTTGAACCCATGAACTGCGAAATCATGACCTGAGCCGAAGTCAGATGCTTCACCGACTGAGCCACCCAGGTGCCCGGGACGTCACCAATTTTCTAAGAAACAAACGCTGCTTTGTCACATGCTTTACATGCATGCCAAACACAGGAATTTTAAGCTTTTTATCTTGAATACTCCTATGTCTTAACGAAAACAGTACTTCGATGAGAAAGTAAATTTTGTCCTAGCAATATTTTGAAGAAAGGAAATGTATTCAGCTTTACAAAGGTAAAATCTGCAGCACTCCCAACCCAGATGTCAGGCCGGGAGCCTGCTGCATATACTTTCCCAGGAAAACTGAGTTCAAACTGACACTGTATCATGAAAGACAGACTGACACAGCGCCAACTTTGAAACAAAGAAGTGTCTTCAAAGCCTAGGGGAATCATTTTGACAGAAGGTTTGGGATTTGGCCGAATCTTCTGGCCCATATAAAAAAAGAAATGCTAAAAAAAGAGTTTGGTCTAAAGCATTCTACATCTCCCTCCTTCTTACATACAAGTCTACGTTTTTCGTATTAAACTTGTCTTGATAAAATGGTGGGGGGGATGTGCCCAGTGACTACATCCTATAGAACAAGATGTGACTAGAAGTAACATATGCAACTTCTTGGCCATGCCCTTAAAGGAAAGAAAACTACACGTCCTCCTCCTTGTCCTCCTCCTTACCGGTTCCTCCTCTTGAGGGTTAGAATGTTGACGTGGTGGGAGGAGCCAAAAGAACCCATTTGAACCTTAAAATGAGAGCTGTGTGATACCGGTGGCAGAGCAAAGAGATAAAGAGGCAGAACCCCTGATGCCTGGAGAACTACGATGCCCTACCTTGATTACCTATCCAGCTTTTTATCTGAGAGAAAAATAAATTTCTATCTTGTTTAGGCCACTACAAGGACTCTGTTACAGCGGCCAAGCCCTATTCTAACTCATAGAGTTGACCACTTATGTTGACAGAGACCAAGCAGTGTTAACATTTTAAGACTTAAAGATGAGACAATTCCCTTGGGCACCTGGGTGGCTCAGTCAGTTAAGCATCTGACTTCAGCTCAGGTCATGATCTCACAGTTCATGAGCTCAAGCCCCACACTGGGCTCCATGCTGACAGCCCAGAGCCTGGAGCCTACTGTGGATACTGCGTCTCCCTCTCTCTCTCTCTCTCTCGCTCTCGCTCTCGCTCTCTCTCACTGCCCCTCGCCTATTCACACACACACACACTCTCTCTCTCTCTCAAAAATAAATAAACCTTAAAGAAATTTTTATAAAAAGATGAAACAATTCCCAAAGCAAACTCACCCAGAGATTATGCTGAGCCCAAATGGCCTCCGCTACTTTGTAATTTTTACAACACAGTCCTGTTTCTTCCCTTTTCTAGGTTTGCTGACCCAACTGAGGATATGCCCACGGGGCCTCAAACCAAACTGGATGGGGCCAAGTCAAAAAAACGGTGATTTCAGAGTTGATCTTTTCCACAGGGTACTCACCTCCTCTCTTTTCAGATTAAACGACTCTTCCAACTTGCTTACACGTTTCCTAAGATTTCTCTTTTTATGGTACCCCATAGTAATTACTCAAAATACAGCTACTGAACGTTTAGGCCAAATGTGCTACAAGTCAAGCCCAAGTTCAGATCCCAGCCCTTTCACTTAACTAGCAGTGTGACGTCAAATTAGCTTCCTTCTCGTCTGCAGAGTCCTTATGTATTATTAAATAAAGAAGGCATCTCCATTACAGGTTATTATATTCTGAATCTCAAATGAGGTAATGTATATAAAGGACCCGGCACAGAGCTTGGCACAGAGCAAGGCTCTGAAGAGAAATCAGCATCCCTTATTGCCAGCATGCACTATTCTTTCATGATGCAGCACCACTAAGTATCGGGGCCTCCTTTAAGCATGTGGTGCCCTACACAGTTCAAAGCCACAAACAGTGACCCATTTTGAGGCATCAAATTCAACCCACGACACAAGTTTCCAGATAGTTCTGTCAGTATTTAAAAATACTTCTGTCAGGATCCTCTTGGAATTGTTCTAAAATTGGATTTAGTGACAACTGCACAACTCTGTGAATTCATTTACCATTCAATTGTACACTTAAAGTCGGTGAATTATACGGTTTATAAAATTATCCCTCAATAAGGCTTTGAAAAGAATCTTCATCTTATGGATAAGAGTTAAAGATATGGAATCACAAAATACACTGGATGTTACTTTATCAAACCCAGGAGAAAAAAAGAGCTCCTAAAATGTTCTATGCATATCAACTTATGGTCTGAGCAACATGAAGTAATAAAGAGACATTCTCCTACTTAGTTGAGGCCATGTTCTTTACTCAAACCTGGGGCTGGCCAATAGGGGTGCACTACCTAGGAGGAGCACAGATACACATGTAAACAAATCATTACAAGACACACTCTGAGTGTAAGGACAGAGGGCATTAATGCTTAGGAGCAAGACTCATCATGTCTGGGGTATCAGGTCGAGCTTCCCAGATTACATTTCAGTTAAGTTCTGAGAGAATAAACAGGAATTCATCAGGAGGAAAAAATATTCTAGCCGAAGGAATAGAATACAAAAAGGCAAACGGCTGTAAGAAACTACAATCTTTGCTATAGACCTGAGGCCTTCAAAAAAAGCCTTTTGTTGAATGGAGCTTTTTATAAAGGAAAGCATGCACATCCAACATGTTATATATGTCATTCAATATGCATATTATACCACATCATGGACAGCTTCCCATGCTAGTATAAATGGATGTTCTTCAGGCATATTAACCGTTGTGGAGTATTTTGTGATAAGGATTGATTATATGCATTTCTAGCAACATCTGAAAACATTTATTTAGCACATTTCATCAGGGACCATAACGCTTAGCTAATGTAAGAGGTCCCCCAAGCAGTCTGTGGAGAGAAGCTATCATTCAGTCCTCTAAGTCCTGAGACCACCAGAATCAGAATGAGTAAGAAGACTGATAATAAACACGCTCCCACCCAAGGGCATGAATATATGTGCGTGTGCATGTGCACACATCTATGTAACAGGAAATGAGACCTGTTAACTGAAGAGTAGCTAAGTGGAGTTCAGTTCATAGGGGTAGCCACTGACTGTTTAGCCTTCCGACGCAAAAGGAGAGAAGAAGGGATAGGATTTGTGGGCAGTGATCTACCCGGAAAACTACCAGGAAAAGTCTACAAAATCTGTGGATGGATTCTTTCATTCTGACCAGGGATCTCAGAACCATCTGACTATTACCTAGTGGTTGTGCAGAGTTTTATAGTTCAATTACGATTTTTTTTCTATGACATAAATTTATACTCTTAAATATAATCCAACAAGAAATACCACTTTGGCTGGGATATTAAAGAAATATAAATGCGTGCATTGGGAGCTATTTTTTTCCTTACACTATGTACATGTCATACATTAAATGTTTTCTTTCTGAATGGCAATAGTTATCCATAATCGGAGACCAAATAAAACCCCGTTTGATAGACTCTTACTTACAAAACCACATTAATAGCTAAACACTAAATGTTTTCTGGATGGTCTTCAATGTATGGACACATTCAAAATATACCCTCCCGCTCCCAGCTTTATTAAGATAGAACCGACATAGAACACTGTATTAGTTTAAGCTGTACAACATTAACAATTCGATAGATGTAGATATTGCAAAAGGATTACCGCAGTAAGTTACCATCAAAATTATGGAACGCTGCAAGCATTTCTGGGTCACCTTGCATATGGGCCATGCTAATCTTCTCCACATCATTCCAACTTTAGGATTTGGGCTGCCGAAGAGAGCTCCAAAATGTATTCTTTATAGATGTGAGCTAACACTCAACAAGTTTAAATAATTTAGCACAAAGACAAAGGAAAAAAGTGTGTTCGATGTCTAGCTATTAAAGGGCCAGAAATATTTGTTGGATGCTCACTGACCAAATAATCCCTCAGGTCCTCTCGGGAAAAAGTTCAATTCTTTTTAGAAAAATTCTTTTGCATTGTTCGTTGGCTTCTCCTCTCAAATTCTGGCTCTAAACTATTTCTCCTTGCCACACAATGGACCAGCTTTTTGACCTGCCAAATAGTAACAACCCTGAAAAGCTTGAGAAAAGTTAACTTGAAATCTGCATGCTTTTATAGCACTGATTAACACCTCGTTCTATGCTTAAATTCTCTTCTAATCGGATTATAAGTCATGATAAATTCAACGTCAAGCCTTCTTTGGCTGCATATGTGTACACAAATAACAATACAAATAAGCAGAGAAGCTTCCCTATGTTCACATCAAATTGCATTCTCTTTGACATCAAGTTTTACATAGGATATTGTAACTAAGCTATTAGTACTCTCATTTGACTTTGTATGCATCAATTGGTATCTTGATATCTGGTTATTTATACCATGTACCAGCGTTTCTGTGAAATCTCACTATCTATCTGAACTCCATTTCACAGCTCACAAGCTGTTTCTGGAGTTAACTCAGTATGCTAATTTTAGGCCATCTGCAGGTGATAATTGCTGTACCAGGAAATTTTTTTGTTCCTCTTAAGATACTGCTTAAATAAGGTTACCATAACTTGTGCGTTCAGTGGTTAAGAATATTAGAAAAGTACCAGTAAACATGATTTTTGGACTTGTTTGAGTCTGGGTCGAAGTTATTTCCAAAAGTATACAGCAAACAATTTAAATTTAATTTTTGTCTAAAAAGTGGCAAAAGTTGCTGCAGTAGTACCTCTACAGCAATGAAAGCTTCAAATCTTTGCGGAAAAAACAAGCATTTCCTATTTATATATATATTTTTAGTGACAGTTTCATTAATCCTCACCACAAAAAAAAAAAAAAAAGTCCCAGAAGCCTAAAGTCAAAGGAAGAAAGGTCAATATATATTATATGGCACCTAGATATTGCATCACTCTGTGTGCCAGCTGCCCATAGAGTATACAAATACACAAAGATACACAAAGATACACAAAGAAAAGTTAAGATAAATGAAAAGTCTTTAGCAATGCCAGCGCAATTTAGAATTCCTTCTGGGCATACCACATATTCATTTTTAAGATGAGCACTGGGTGTTGTATGTAAGCCAACTGGACAATAAATTGTATCTTCAAAAAAAGAGTGAAATATTTATTGGTACTTATTACCACAGCTATGTATATTCTGGCCGGGAAATAAATAAGAGGCTGATTTAGCTTATAAACCATCAAAATCTGTTTCATTAGATCATTTAGTTGAGATACCTGACTCAAAAATGCATTGGCGGGCCTAAAAAAAAAAAAAAAATTTCTGAAAATGTTACATTAAAATATAACCATCTTAGTGTTATAAATACTGCTCACATTTTTGGCAATTACGTGCACTGCTTTTGTAATTAGAAAAGCCCCTACAATTAATACTATTTCTAAAAGAAATTAAAATGAATAATTTTTTCTTCTCTTTCACTTCTCTGGCATCAGTAATCAAGAGCTTATATAAGGAACTTTATTTTATACGCAATAGTCAATTTAGGTTTTCCTGCGTTTTAGTTTATCATGAAAACTTGTAACACAGCAAATTACACAAATTATGCAAATTCTCTTACAAGCAAGTGATTTATTTTTACAATCAAATAATTTTTGTCTCATGTAACCTCTGGCATTCGGTCAGTTTCTACAGAGAACAGTACAAAGAAAATACTACCGCATTATGCTCAAAAAAGACAACCAAAAACCCAAATGGAAAGGTTAAAATTCAAGATAACTTCATAAAATAAGACAACAAATACTGTCACTTGTACCCACCATTATATATAAATAGAATTTAAAGTGTAACAACTTAACCCTAGAATCTGGGCAAAGTCCCAAGAATCCAGGCTATTCGTATAAATAATTAGGACACCACAGATAGCCACTCTGTCCACATCTGCCCATCTTCTTACCCCAGAGACACCTGCTTGGAGTAAACAGGATCTAAATTCAAGCAAGTGAAACATGAACCCATAAAATTAGAAGGAAGCAGACACAAATGCTTTGTACAAGTTTTCAACTGGAATCATTAACAGCAATTTACAAAATCCATAGTCTGATCCTGAAAAGAACCACATAAAGTAACAATAATGTTACGCCAGCCCTCTTTGGGAGAAATGAGGGTGACTCGCTGGAAGTCATGCTGGAGTGGCACAGCACAGTTTTCCTTTAGAAGCTGTCATGTGAGCTCTGTCATACTGAGAATACAACTTCATTGGAAATTCTTTGAATCTCACCTATATGGCTAATGGAATATTTACGGCACAGGGGGTGAAAAGCTTAATTAGGTAAACATTTTCAAGTGCTTTGAGATCTCCAAGTATTGTTTGATTTTCCTCTTTGGTAACGTTTTAAGTCTTTGTGGAAGGGTAGGTAAGAGCCCTCCTTGCCATTCTCCCGTCCCCACCACATACTACTTAGCCTGAAATTCAACCCCCATTTTTCCTTTTGTAGTCAATTGTTTTGATACATGTTAAAATAATGGAACTAAAGAAAAATAAAAGAACTTTCCAGAACAGAAGGGTGCATGCCAATGGATAATAACATAATCAAAAGCCATAATCTACAAATGCTGAAAAAATTAAAAAGCACATATACACAGCATACACTGCTTTTCCAAGTTTGGCATGTTACAATTTGCTAAGAGTTTCCATTCCTTAAAATTTCGCCCAAATAAGCTGACTTCTCAAAAAGTGACAATTTTAGGAGAAAATAATTTCTAAAGTTCTCAAAGAGATTTTTTTAAAAAGATTTTATTTTTAAAGTATCTCTACAGGGGCGCCTGGGTGGCGCAGTCGGTTAAGCATCCGACTTCAGCCAGGTCACGATCTCGCGGTCTGTGAGTTCGAGCCCCGCGTCGGGCTCTGGGCTGATGGCTCGGAGCCTGGAGCCTGTTTCCGATTCTGTGTCTCCCTCTCTCTCTGCCCCTCCCCCGTTCATGCTCTGTCTCTCTCTGTCCCAAAAATAAATAAATGTTAAAAAAAATTTAAAAAAAAATAAAAATAAAAATAAAGTATCTCTACAGCTAACGTGGGGCTCAAACTCACAACCCTGAGATCAAGAGTTGCACACTCCACTGACTGAGCCAGCCAGGCACCCCTTCAAGGAGATTTTTACATTTTCACCCCAAAATAAGGCATTTCTCCCATAAACCAGCTTTGCTTTGAACTGGAAAGAACCTTAGAAACAATCTACAACTACTCGCTTTTCACACAAAGAGTGGTCCTCATGCAGTTAGGCAAAACCATCATTTTGCAGTTATGCTCAAAGCAGCCTGTTACCAGGAGACCCTAAGAGCCAAATGTACCCAATTATTTGAAAATTGTTAGGAGCATAATGACAGCAGCTCTCAAAATGGATGAAAAGACTCTAGGCACTAACTTGGAATGTCTTCATCTAGAAAAGCCCCAAGTGGGGGGTCAGAGCTGAGAGTCATACTCTTCCTTCCTACAAGTTATTAATTTCCCAATGTTGTTAACTTAAATTCTTGGGGCTGGGTGGAGGAATACATTCTTAACATAATGCCTAAATTAAATACAATTAGATGGCTGCACAGAGATTCCTCTTCTCCAGGATTGCCAGATTAACAGAGGGCTCCCTCTACTGGTACCATGTCACACGCCAAAGGCAAATCCAGGTAAGGAAAAGAAAACCAACGCTTCTGTGCTTCTCATCCATCCAAACATTTATTATCTACACCATGGGCCGGGCACAGCACTATACCCTCCTGGCTGGGCCACATACAGTGAATATATACTGGCATTAACAGGAAAAAAACAGCTTTTCAAAAGCAGGCAAAGCACACAAAGTGCTCTGATTTCAGATAATCATAGGGATGGAAGAGACCGATTTAGTTAAAACCGTTCTCATCCTTCAAGTCCATGAAGCAGGTTTTCAGTTGGAGTAGACTGAATATCTGGGGTTGCCTGTACAGGGGGGTACAAACTCAAATGCCTGGAAGGATTGGGCAACATATACGAGCACAGTGAGTCGGGGAGCAGGGCCGGGTGGGGACGGTGGCGACCTGGAGAGGGCAGGCCTCATTACCCAGCACACTCACCTGCTGGCCACTCTGCCCTCCCCACTTATACTGTCATGCCACACTTCAGGTCTGCGTTACCTCATCTTCAGACTTTCCCCCAAGAGAAGCTAGAAATGTGGGTGTGAAATGTCCCAATTAAAAAAAAATTTTTTTTTAACGTCTATTTAATTTTGAGAGGGAGAGACCGAGCAGGAGTGGGGAGGGGCAGAGAAAGAGGTGGGGACACAGAATCCAAAGCAGGCTGCAGGCTCTGAGCTGTCAGCACAGAGGCTGATGCGGGGCTCGAACCTACAAACTGTGAGACCATGTCCTGAGCCTAAGTCAGCCGCTTTACCCACTGAGCCACCCAGGCGCCCCTGAATTGTCCCAATTTTGAAACGTGCGCTAAGTGAAATACGTTGGTAGGGCATGTGCAGCCCAGACTACCGGGTTGAGCCTTCGGCCTAGAATCAGAAGGGAACTCCCCTTTTGCCCATTCCACTGCTGGCGGGTCCAAAGGGTATAAAGTTCTCATGATTTCCTTCAGTATAAATATCCATAATTGATCTACGTCCAGCCTTTTAGGGCCACATACAGTAAGTGGGTTGCTTATTCCCAAAGAAAGAAGATTTTCACTTTTTAACTCACTCACTTATTCAATAGCATTTGCTGCACACCTGCCAAAGGTGAGGCCCAGGGCTAGGGAACAGCAGAGAACAAAAAGAACACGGTACCAACACTCATGGGGCTCACAAATTGCAGAGAGGCACTACACCGAA